AGCTACTTGGGAGGCTGAGGCAAGAGAATCACTTAAGCCCAAGAGTTTGAGGTTGCTGTGAGCTGTGATGTCACAGTACTCTACAGAGGGCAACACAGTGAGACTCTGTCTCAAAAAAAATGGAAAAAAATGAAAAATAAAAAGAATGGAAAAGCAGGTATCCATTAGTATTCAGTAATGTACTGACACTAATATGAAGCCCATAGATGATCTTATACATGCCTACATGAGAAAAAAACTCAATTCAATTCAAGATAGGTGAGGGAAGAGAGAGGAGTAGGAAGGGAGATTGGTGTGCTCCCACTTAATGGACATGGTGTAGGAGTATATAGCATACCTCTTTGGTGTCGGGTACAACTACAATAGGGGCTCTACATAACAAATTCAAACATGATAACCTAATTGTTTGTACCCTCACATTAATCTGAAATTTAAAAAACATAATTAACAAGAAAAAAGAAATAGTGTCCAGAATATAACTGCTTCCATACAAACAATCCTTCATTTTTAAATTCTATGATATGATTTTATTTTAAAAAAATAGTAGAATCAATCAAGTTGGCCATAAAACAATACTATAAAATTAAAGAAACTTAAATTTACCATCAAATGATACAAAATGGCTATTCTTCAGTAAAGAGACAACATTTGCATGGAGAGAAAAAGTGGATAGTCGGCTTTTTAAATATTGTAGCCAAAAGATAATGGGCATATAAATTTATGTATCTTACTAATTTTCAAATAAGTAGGATATGATAAAATAACATGACAACCATTGGTATGTATTTCAAACCATTTGGTAGTAATCATAAAGAAAGTCTATGTGGACCATTTTTGTGGAAATTGACAATGTAAAAAGAACTGCACCAAAAGTCCCCCTGACACTTAGCTTTTAGCTTCAGTTCTGACATCAGAGCGAATCTCTGATGCGAATCATAATTCATGCAAATCAAATTGTGGGCCCTCACTTCCTCTTCTATTAAACAGGGATGTTGAATTGGGCATGCTGTCTCTGATATGCCTTTACACTAATATTTTATATTCAAAATGAAGTTGCCTATTTAAAGTGAGTAATTGCATCTATATGGGCAATATTTAATGAGAAAAACGTCTATTGTCACTATACTTTTTAACATTCCTCAGATAACATTAAATAAACAAAAACACAACCTTTGGTATTGACTTTAGCCCTATTAAGGAAAACAGTCTTCTTAGCCTCAAAGATTTCTATACCACAAAGTTGAAGGATGATTTAAATAATTAAATGGGTAGCTATTATTTTTTCTTGATGATGTTACAGATTTCGAAAAAGTAATATCTGATGTGTAATAGAAGATATTAAAACCAAGATGTCAATATTCATTTATAAAATTTGTCTTAAATCACAAGTGCACTGACTCTTTTGTCATTAATAACCTTTACCAAACACTTCAAGAAGTTCAGCCTAAGTCTTATATTCTCTAGAATAAGTGTATATTATAAAATCATAATAGATGCATTATTCTTTCATAACATCTACCACATTTAATTGCATTACAATTAAATTAATTAATGATCTGAGGCGCTCAAACTTGCATAATTACTGATTTCTCTGGGTCCTTTTGTCAGCAGAATTTCTCTTTTTGCGTCTTTTCTCCAGAATCCTGTCCTCCTCCAGAACTCTGCCAGTCAAGATACCAATGTTAGAAACTGAAATCTTCTAAATATTCTAAATAACAGCACCTCATTGCACAGAGAATCAATTTCCCCTTCAAATTGTGAGGGAAGAAATCCCACATGAAACAGGTCTCATTTCTATCCCACCAAAATCACCTATTATTGACTACCACTCACAGCTCCTGCTTTCCCACTCCCTGAATCACATCTCTAATTACACAATGTTTTCACATCTCTATGTTTTTTGCATATGTTCCTCCTTTTGCTAGAATGTCCTTTCCACTCTTTTTCCCCTGGAAAATCGTCGCTCATCTTTAAAGAACTGGATAAAATGTCATCATCCTTTAAGAAGCTCCCCCAGTTTTCCCCAAACATCATTTTTCCTCAAGTTCCCAATAGGCATCTATGATGATATTTATCATACTGTGATATAATTACCTCCTTATACATTTATCTCCTCTACTAGATGGTAGTGCATCCAAGGAATGGTACCCATGTCATTAATTTTATCACCCCCCTTTCCTTTATCAGCAATACTAGCAGAGTCTGTGACTCAATATTCAGATACAATGCCTGTAGAATAGAGTCTTGCAGAAACATGCAAAACTATTTCAGAATCAAACAAAAATGCTAACAATTCAATTGTCAAACTGTGGAAACAACCTAAATGCCCACCAATCCAGAAATGGACTAACAAACTGTGGTATACGTATAGCATGCAATACTATTCAGCCACTAAAAAAAGATGGAGACTTTATATCTATCACATTACCTGGATGGAAGTGGAACACATTCTTCTTAGTAAAGCATCACAAGAGTGGCAAGAATCCAATGTACTCATTTCTGATATGAGTACAATTGATGACCTAGTACATAGTGGGGGTGGGGAAATGGGGGAGCAGAGAGGGGGAGGAGTGGGGGGGTGAGAGGTCA